AAGAGAAGAGAAGAGAAGAGAAGAGAAGAGAAGAGAAGAGAAGAGAAGAGAAGAGAAGAGAAGAGAAGAGAAGAGAAGAGAAGAGAAGAGAAGAGGGGATTTTAGACAGTTTCCACATTGTAATTTGCTAACTCTTGCCTGTGTTGTTCCCCTTGCTCTTCCTCGCTGGTGCCTCCCGGCCGTCCCCACCACCTCTGCTCTGGCTCACAGCAAGCGGCCTCCTCCCCGCTCTCTTTGTAAGGCTCATCACGAGATTTGTCAAAGCCTTTCCCTCAAAAGGTTGTCAAAACCAGCGAAAGTGCTTTCGGCACAGCTTGAAAACAAGAGGTTCTTTGTTTTCATTCCTGTTCCTCAACAAAGGTTTAAACTTTTCTAAAGAGAGAGAAAAAAAAATCGATTGATTTCCCTAGCAGCTGTAATAATTTGTAGTTCCTGCCTTGCCTTCAAATCCCCTTTATACTGTCTCTTGAAATCCCGTTTTTCATGTTTCCCCCAAAGTGTTGCATATGTTATCTGTCTTGCTCATTTTCTTGTATTGTTTTTGTTTAATCTAGTTTAAGCTGTAAGCATTTCAGGGTGAAGAAGAGGACTGCATTTTGGCAGTCTTTGTTTGATAACGTTGGTTTAATCTGCATTTGAGGGCCAAGAACGCAAGCAGCAGGCAGGACTTTCTGCCAGTTCACATGTAGAGAAAYTGTGGCTGTTAATACTCTGCTTTTTGAAGAGAAGAAAGAAAATTGCTCAAGGACAGAACTGTCTGGTATTCCTCAGCCCTCTGCTTTGCAGCTGCCTGCCACTGTTGGATACTTCATTGGCGTTACTTTCTTCAAATAAATAACAGTCATCTTTCCAAGCAGCTCAACCCAGCTGACAGCACTGATTTATTGAGATTCCCRGAGTTTTTTCCTCATCTAGGAAGTCTACCCAGTGCATTTAAGTGAGTTTTTAAAATGCAAGGGTTCTCTATGCAATGTGGTGTTGAATTGACCTTATGCTAAGGTGGCTGGAACTTCCACCACAATTGACCAGGAAGACACGGATAAGGCCTTCATAACAGGTTTATCTCTTTTCTTAGCAATTCCAGTGCTTGTTCTCTGGAAGAAGAGGCCCCAGAGTGAGAGCTGTTGTGACTGCAGCCTGCAAGATGTGCAGAAGAAATAATCAAATAAGTTTGCAGTAACTACTTCCTTGCAAAGATCTAGCTTAGGTCATGCTTTTGTCATGCTTCTAGGAAAAATACGCACTTTTATCAAGGTCCCGCATGATCCCCCCGATGATCTAAAATACTCAAAACTTGTAAAATTCTTTGCATTTTTCCTCTTTTCTGGTAGCTCTACTTATATAAAAAAATTGCTCAACTCCAGCTGGGAATAGAAGCAAAGGTGTGTTTGCTATCTATTCCAGCAAAGATATTTCAGTTCTTTTCTTCCAGYGATATTTTAAGTGACGTGGTAGAAATAACAGATCTCAAGAAGATCTTGTCCATTATTATGTGATGAAAGCTCTATATCTTTCTCACAATGCCACCGATGTTTGAAGACTGCTTTTCCACAGAAGGCAAGCAATTTTTGATTATTTCCAACTGGTGGAATATATAAAACAACAAAGAGCTGTTGCAGTTGATAGTGCTTCGTGGCCGGTGGTCTGGCAGTGACTCAGATGATACATTTGAACGCTTAGAGGGAAGCATCTTGGATAGCTTTTAAAGCCTTTCTTAGAAATGGATATGTGTGATTCAGCTCACTTCTTTTCCCCGGCCATGACAAATAAAAGTTACCAATGTCAGGAAGAGCAGAGTCTTGGGGAAGGATAATGGCAGCGTGTTCAAAGGGGAATTACAACTGAAACCTGGAAGSAAAATAATGTCAGCCCTGCCCTTGGAAGGGTGGAAATGTTCTGAGAGAGAGGGATGTGACATAAAAAGAAAAACCCAATATGTTTCCTGCCCACAGACCATTTTTTTTCCTTCTGCTGTAGGACGATTTATGTCTTTCTTTGAGGAGAGCTGAGCAACCCCGTGAAGGAGCAAAGGACTCCTGGGTCATCCCAGACTGGAGTCTTGCAGCTTTTTCTCTGAATATGGGAATTTTGACTAGGGTCATGGTAATTAATGACTGGTATAATTAATCTGATGTTTCGTTTTATCAAACCAGCCAGCGAAGAATGCAAGTAATGTCTTCATGACCAACTGCAGAAAGATAGAGGTATGCTATGGTGTCTACTGAAAAGTCTATTTTTCTGGTGAAAAAATGAATAATACAGATTTTTAAGTGGGGAATTTGATGTACATCCAGGCTGCATGAACCAATCTCATGCACGAATCAGTGCTGAGAATCAAAATACTGTGGCCATTTCTTCTTTACTCTCCATTTAACTTCTGGATTGGAAGAAGGGATTTGCTACTCCTTGCATCCCTTGCATAACTTGGTAACTGCTGAGGAATAGCTGGAYGAGGGTCCAGTGCCAACCCTTTGCTGCCTTCACAGGTACCTTTCACAAGATGCCATGGGAAGATGCAGCACATGTCACATGAAGAACTCAATTTTCAGTCTGCTGGGGTGTTTGTAAGTCCAGGGTGATGGAGATGGGGAACATTATTAGCACCAAATCAAAGGAAACTATTGCTGCTGTCACAGTGCAGCAAGAAAAATCAGGATTCAAAAAAATTCCTCTTCATCTCCATAATGCACCTAGAGGATTCAAAAGGAAGCACGTGCATAATCCTGCAACAGCAAGGAGAAGGCATTTCTCATGAAATGGTAAACTCATATGCAATTGAATTGTCATTGTGTTTAAYAATGCAATGCATTTAGTAATAAATYGTGTTTAATTCGCTGTATTGTTCCTTGTTGCAACAGCCTACTTAACTGGAAGCATCTCAACCCTTGAGAAATATGAGTATTATTCAGAAAATAAAAATGACAAGAAAGGACGTGACCCAGAACTGTCCATTCAGCACTGGGGCTGCAGAGACACCCCAAGCAATGAGGTGCAGGGGGACACAGCCCAACAAACTGCCTCTCAGAGGTCCCGGTGAGTAAAGCCAGAGATTTCCCCTGTTGCTGATGCCAATTCCAGCTTCCTCCTTTCCTAAGTGGCACTTTGCAAAGAGGCCCTGGTGTTGCTCTCTCTTGCTCCTTCAGGAATGCTGCCTAATGTAGCTAGTTGTGGAAACAAGACTTTTCCCTATAACTCCTTTGATTAAAAGTGTGCATGGGTCCCAGTTTGAGGAGTGGTGGGGGATGCACTGATGGCACCAAGACCTGGAGCCTCCTGCAGCCTGGGTCCCTATACAGAGCTCCAGCTYTGCAACAGGTACAACTGAGGTGGTCACTGCTCCCACTGGTCCATGCAATGGGGTACTGAGTGCTGTGCATCAGCATCGCCATCAGCTGAGGGATGCTACTCCTGTCGTGGTTTACCCATTTCTAGTGACACTTTGGCAACAACCGAATCATCATTTGATTTATGTTGCAACACAGTAAACATATTTCTGTAGTTCTGCCCTAGCATTTCATCATGTTTTTCAGAAAACCCTATGTTTCTGAAGTGCTTTGGCAAAAAAGAGAGAGCAAGGCAGGGTTTTCTTTCTTTCTTTTTTTTTTTTTTTTAATGAAAGACAGATTATTTATCAAATTTTTGTATTTCTAGAAGAAAATGGGACTTGTAACGTTCTTATAATGTCATCTCATGAAGAGTAAAGGCACTAAAGAAGACAGATATTAGGTATCCTTTTTTTTCTTATTATTTTCATCCACTATTTCAAATAATTAACAAGATTCTAGGTAAGAAWAGAATAGATTTGGAAGAGAATATCTTACTCAAGAGAAGTATCTCCCTTCCCAGCAGAGTTCTGAAAAGCAGCCCTTAAATAGAAAGTCCTGATCTGTTTCRCATAGAAGATTCCCCCTCAGTATCCCAGCAGATGTTTTAAATTACATGATATGTTTCTCAGAGTCTGGTAATTTCTGCTGGGATYTTCTTACTAGTTCCTAGATTTATTTCAAGAGGAGCTAAGTGTTTTCTCCCTAAAGTTCCTCTAAGTGGGTCAGAAGTTTGCAAAAAAAGAAGACTTCTGTTTTTTGAGTTTCTCTGCTCTCTCAGGTAATTTCACGTCATATTAAGGCACAAGTGACTTTATTGTGGAAACCTAGTGTCTTTCTTTTATTTTTCGTAAAGTTGCTGTGCAAGCTGGTCACCAGTGCAAACGTAGCGGATATTTTGAAGAAATTATTCTGTCAGGCTCATCTTTTTTTATCTGATCTTTCCTCAATCTGGTAGTTCAGAGAATCATTTCTGTTGTAGGAGACCTGAAATTTGTATGACAATTGCTTTGTTAAGCGAGGCCTCATTTAAGAAAGGGAGAAATGTGTTGGGCCAAGATGTTCTTTCCACAGTACTCTTAGGTTCRTGAAGGATCCACCAAGAAGTTGTACTGGTGAAAGGTTGATACTTGGCTGGCCTGATACCGGGTTCATGGGCAATTTCTTAGGTAAGGGTACAGGTTCTGGTTATTCTATAGGCAAATTGCATGTGTAAATGTGATGTCCATTGCATCCTTGAAGGTCTTGCCATTTTAGACATGTCTGTAGGATGAAGTTTATATCTTCTTATGTACTCTGTCAAGTACYGATCATCTCCTGAATAAAATATCTGGCATGTAATCCTGTCCTTAGAAAACTACTGATGTGATTATCATAGCTGCTAATGTTYCAGAAGAAGGATATGGGTTGCTGATCTGGTAAGGAAAGTACTGGAAGAGACTTGTTTGTGCCAACGTTGGCACAAGGAAGGCGAAGCCGACAGAAAGAGAAATGTGTTTGGGTTTGAATTCTCCACACTGAGGCAGAAACCCAAGACTTGCATGCTGTGATAAAATCCCTTGCAAATCATAAACATGCAGAAATCCAGCTTAACGTGAAACGCAGCCAGTTTTGGTCTGAATAGCTGCGAGGAGGGTTTTGCTGATGCTCTGAGCAGTGGTAGCCTCAGCCCCAGGGACACGAGGAGTCCTGGCAATAAAACTGCTTCCTCCAGCAACACCTTCCAGCCTGGCATTGCTTAATGGGCTGGGAGAGCACATGAAAGCGGCTGTTTCTGAGCATTATAAAGGACACATTGCTCCTCTTAGTCACTTAGTATGTGAAAACCACAAAATGAGAAAAAAAGCACATCAGGTCTCACATTCGACRTTTCCACCTCCACATATAGGAAACAGTAACAGCTGAGCACAGCTGGCATGAAAGGGACTGGTCTCAGCTTTATCGTGGTGGGAAGGCAATAAACACCCATCTTAGAAAAGCTAAAGGGGCCTCCAAGTGTCCTGCTCAACTTTATGGGCAACTTATTTCCTGGAAGAGTTCAAACCGATGTTATTGAGTAGCCAGAGCTTGGCTTTTGACTTGTAGAGCTAGGAGAGACRGGAATATTGTTCTTCCTGCAATATTCCCTGCAATGGATATTTGCTGTGTTTTCTGGAATTCACTCCCTTCCCTTCTGTGAATCAGTTCCTCTAGGTCAGCATGTTCTTTACACCGGATATTTTAGCCTGGTGCTGCTTCGCTCCAAAAGCATCTGTAGGAGTCAAAAGCCACACGCTGTTCCATGKGCTGGATAACTTTATGGGTAAATAAGTAACTTTATGGGTAACTTTATGTGACTCCTGCTGTCACATACATGTTAAACGGTGTTGATGGTGCGAGATGTGTTATTATTCCAGATTAGTTAAGCAAATTCTATATAGGCTAGTTTCTTTTGCAGCCTCTTTGCACACTCTACACTTGACCTTGGGGATGCATCTCAAATCCACACTGGCGTTTTCCAGACTCTGTGACTTTTGGCCTGTATCCCAAATACATATGAGCTTCCTTGGATCTGTATGCTGAGAATGCATGTGTTTCTGCAACCTACTTCACTTGGTCACCTTACTGGTCATGGCTAGAGGAATATAAATCCATTGTAAATCCATAAATCTGGTTTTGGAGTTGAGGGAGTTCAGAGAGATTTAGTCTGTCCTACAAATCCGACCTGCAGTATACCACTATGTCTGCATTTTTTATGCATATATATATACGTATATGAATTGATATATTGTTTTCCAAATTTGTGCTTTAGCTGAATATAATTTACTTGTAATATATAGCTCTTTGTTAGCATTAGGAAAGAATGAGTGGGATAAAAAGGACTCCGATTTTTTTAAACTAACTTTTCAGTTAAACAGGTCAAGAAGCAGATGTAGCAATTCCATTAACCACGCTCCTTGCCCACAATAAGTTTGGAAATTCAACAACAAAAAAAGAGGCTCCACAGTGTATTTTGGGTGGATTAGTTTTTTGATTTCTAAACACAGTGGTCTGCTCTGGAGCCTGGCACTTCCAGTCAGGCTTTCTTGTTTATAGCATAATAGTGAAAAGAAGTACAAGCTGAAGCCTGCTGGGGAGTTCATGTCTGAGAGAGTGAAAGCCGATTTTTAACATCATAAAATGTTAGCCATGACCTTCTGGGAGCTTACAGTGTCTGTTGCCGTTTCACACCGAGGTGAATAGGTGCTTCTTTTGCAATTAATAATGTCATTCTCTTCCTGCTGCCAAGCTGTCAGACCCTGGTTAACCTGGTTTTGGCTTGGCCAAAGGTCTGYTGGGACTTGCTGGAATATTTCTGAAGTTCCTTCAACAAGAGAAGCAGTGTCAGCTGCAGYCTTTGCTGGCTCCCTCTCCCCAGGCTGGATCTAAGCCATCGGAGCAGTTTCCTCACCTCTGCTTCTTCATGACCGTAATTGCTGCTTGCRCTGGTACTCAGTGCACTGGGTCTCCTCTGTGGAGGCCTCTCTGCTCGTTGCAGCTGGACAACCTGGTTGTTCTGCAACTCTTTGGTCATGGGCGTCAGAAAGGGCCACCTGTCCCTTGTGTCCTTTTGGGAATGTTGCTTGATGGTTYCTCTCCTGAAGGACATGATACTGAGTGGCAAGGTGCAGATGACAACAGTTTTCAGGGTTCATTGGAATGAACTTGGTGAACTGGGTTTTGACTGGAGGTCCTAACTGTCCTCCCTTCCCCTGATTGCTCCATTTCTTCTTCTTTTGGACCATGCCTGATGGTGAGCACATTGCAAAGGGTTAAAAACAGCATGTCAGGTGTCTTGATTCTAGTTTGATGTGGGATTATTTTATGCCTGTCCATCTGAATACCACTGCAGTGAGACACCAAAAACATAATATTGCTTTGTGTTTATTGAATAATTTACCCTTGGCTCTCTTGGCTTTGGCTTCTTGCCTATAAAGCAACAGCCAAAAGGTTTTTGAAAGAAAGAAAGAGAGAAAGAGAGAAAGAGAGAAAGAGAGAAAGAGAGAAAGAGAGAAAGAGAGAAAGAAAGAAAGAAAGCACTTAGCTTGCACTTTCTCCTCATGCTGACTCTCATATTTATTTTATTTCAAGTTTTGGGACTTTCTCTAGAGAGTAAAGTAAATATGAACAAAATATATACTGAATGATTATCATCTAGATTTTTGTCCTCCTGCAGTGCTGCAGTTCGCTCAGCTTCTAGCCAAGCACCAGGCTGGAATTGCAGTTATACTCACAAGTTTTAGGGTATCAGATTAAAAAAAGGAAAAAATCATCCTCAAGGGCAGAGAGATCCATAATTTTCTAAGAGGCCTCAATGTTCTTGCTCATCATGTGAAGACACCTTCAGTGGACAGACTCCCTTAAGTCAACGGGGAATTTTGTCTTTGCTTTTGATGACCAAAGTCTTCACATAGATGTCTTGAGTTTCCTMTTCTTCTATCCAGTGACATCAGTCAGCTTTAAGGTGAATCAGAAGACTTAGTCCTTTCTCACTGCTCCTCGGGTGGCCTAATTAAACCTCAGAGCCTCAAAATCTTTGTTGGAGAGGCGCAGGTGGGCCTAAGCTTCCTGACCTAATAGGAAAACTCCATTATTATGAGGATACTGGGAAAAATCTGCTGATAGAGTCATAAAAGATGCCTGGGATCAGAGACAGGAGTGCCACAGATGGAGAGGATGATACAGCCATCAGCTCTGAGATGATCATTTACAGCTGCTTTATGGGTGGTGGGTCCGTATCTTTCAGTGCTACCAATATACACTATTTTTAAAGGTAGACTTCTATCGTTTTTTTCTGTGGCAATCTGACCAGGATAAGTATTTCTGAACCAGAACCACTAAGGAAGCACTGACCATGTACAGTAATGCAGATCTGCTCCATRTTTTTACCTGCAAAATCACAAGCCTTTTAGGCTTTCCTTGGTTATGTTTTCCCTATGAAAAGGAGCTCAGTGCTGTGTTTGCACAGGCTTAGAAGGGCTTAGGAGCAGGCAATCAATATGAGGAGGAGCAGCTAATTGCTCAGCTAAAGTAAAGCCCTCTCTGACACAAATCTGTTGTGTTGGCATTGTATTTTATCAGACTACAGCCAGCAGACAGGGGAGCATCCCAGGAGAAGCACACGAAGCAACGTCAAAGGGAAGGCAGGCAAGACATCCCCATTGACTGTGTGCCTGAATATTACAGGCAAAAAAGAGTATATGTCAGCCCTGTGCTCCTTTTCAGAGGAGAGGAGGACATCAGGAAGTCTCTTAATCCTTGCTAGGTTGCAAAAGGATGGAAACTWGAAGGAGTGCCAAGGAGAACTGGGATCAAAAGCATTAGCCATCTATTTTTTTGGGAACAAAACTACCTATACTGAAAAAAAAAAATCAAAGAACAACAAAAACACCATAGTTCTATGATATATGTGTCTCTGAAAGGTATTTGAGCTGAGTTCTTAAAATACTCCCTTGGTATGTTTATGACGATGGTTTCTGAGGTCTTTCAAGTGCTTTTTCTTGGAGCTCCATTAGATAGTATGAAGCAACTCCCCAAATCACAGTGCTTTTAGAAGGCGTCAAGGGTCGGCCCAGACTTAGAAGTAAGCAACATAATTCACAAGGGCTTTTCCAACAAATCTGCAGATTTTTTTTTCTTTTAAAAAAGTAAATACAGTCTGAATCTCTTTGGAAAATGATACAAGCAGATCACAACAATATGTACTTACAAGAATGTACTTCGAAGAACATGTTGTACTTTCATGCTGAAGTATTTTACATTCTCTGCAGAATATTTGGATATTGACCTTTCCTGATGGGCTGTTTCTGCAGCCGGGGTGGTTCCTGAGTGCTTGCAGGGCTTCAGGTATCACTGTCCTGCCTCACACTGGCTTGAGATGATGATTTGCCTCTCATCAGCAGATGTTTTAGGCTCCTGAGGCCCCAAAAGGAAATAACTTCCTAATTGCAGCATAGCTCAGCAGGTCTCAGTCCAAAATATAGATCTATAATCTGCCTCTGCTTGACAGCTTCCCATTGGAAAGCTGCTGAGATCTATCCGCATCTCCATTTTCACGGTAAGGAGGCACCAGTACATCCCTTTCTGGAACTCTGCCTTGCTGGCATTTATGTGCAAGGTGATGAAAACCAGCCCTATGGAAGCAGAAATTGTGGAACAGCAGAAAAGTGGCAGCGGAAATGTAGGTGTAGATCTCACCATGTCCCCATTCTTGATATATGGGAAGGCCTCTACAAAGCATTGAGGTTCTCCTCTGCTTGGCCTCCCTTTTCCAGAGGCATCAGGTCTCCATGGGGAGGATGCTTTTAATCCCCTTGTGCCACTGCTCTTTTTGGTGGGAGGTGTATGGTGTCGTCAGTCGGAGCACCAATTGTAGCATGGCTGCAGGATGAGAGCATGGATCTCTAAGAAGGAGGAGTGGGGCTCTTGAACAGGTCTCAGTGCGTTAGTTGGAATAAAAYACTTAGGCAATCCTTGTCTCAGGGATGAAGGACATGTCCCATGCCTCAAAGGTGAGCATCCCTATTTTCAAGTCTCATTCAGGGTGCCTTTTTTATCTCCACAGAGTTGCTATATTCCTATGATTTAATGGCTTTTCTACCCAGGGAAGTTATGGGAAGCCCTTAAGCCACCGGACTCCTGGAGGGTGCATCAAGGAAAGGTCTTTCATATCCTGCCCTCCTGGCTGCAGCGGCAGTGGTGGCAGGAGCAGAGGCACCAGGCTGGGTCAGTCTCCGCTCGGATGCGGGAAGGTCTTTGGTTCCCATGATCAGGCAACCAGCATCTGTCATGTGCTTTGGCTGCCACCTCATAATAGCTTAATTTTCTCCTTTGTTCTTTGCCTTTTGATGACTATCCTTTGATGACTTAAGGGGCCACCCAAAAGAGAGGACATTCCTGTCTCTCCAGAGCAGGCACTTAGCAACATCTTCTGCCAGAKCCACAATATCTGAGAAAAGAAAAGCTGCCCTCACTTCTGAGGAGAAGAGCAGCAACAAATCCCAGAAAGTCTATTTAAATATGGCTGTTTACTTTTGTTGGAGATTGAGTTACCTTCTCTTATAGAATAATGTTTTGGAATCCTTCTTGGTTCCCCCATAATAAATCTCAGTTATTCAAAGAAAAGGAGCTTCGCCAGTGAGTGAAGGAAATGCCCAAGAAAAATCCTTTATAGCAGACCTGCTTTTGACACTATTGGAAATTTCTGGGCACGCTGGCTAGGTGAATTATTGCTCTGTCTCTGGGCAATCAGAACATGAAGTGACAGCTCTCTTGTCTCTAACTGTAGACTGGAGGGACCTCTGCTATCAGGCGACAGGGAGGAAGAAAGAAAGCGAGAAGAAAGGCTAACAGCTGGATTCCAGTGAGGGTGGCAGGGTGGGGACTCCAGGTCCTGTGATGACTTCAAGCCATGTTTTGTCCCAGCGGTTGCCGACAACCACATGGACAAAATGTTGTTGCTGGTATTGTGGCTTCTTGGGAATCATGGGCTTCGTAGCTCAGCGTGGGTGAACAACAATGCAAAATTGCACCCAGGGCTCCTCAGTTCTCTGTCAGGGATGGCATTTGGKTTAAGTACAGCAAAGGGACCTCAGGGAAGAGCAGACTAATGGTCAAGACTAAGACTTCAAAGGCATTCTGAAATGACTCTGACTCTTCTCATCCCTTTTCTGAGCAGCTTTTCATTGAGATTTGCTGCTGTGGGCTAAATGGCTTGGAGAGYTGGATGGTAGAACAGCTGGAACTGGTAATCTCCAGCATCCAAGAAGCTGTGTTGTGATGATCTTCTTCTGTTGTTGTTGTTGTTGTTGTGGTCATTCCTTGTTTTCCCTATGATGCTCCAAAAGGGTTTTACAAAGGATAGCTATTTACAAAGGATAGTTATTTCTTTGCATAGCTGTGAATATGCACAGCTAGACTAAGCAAGGTTGTCCATCTGGGCCAGGATCACATGGGCAAAGGAGGAGAAAAAAAATGGGGTGCAAACCTAGCTGCAGCAAAGTACAGAGACCTTCTATCATTTGTACACTGAATTCTTAGGGAACTTAATCCCTATGCAGTCTTGTCGTGTGTCTGCTGTGACACTGAAGTGTTGATGTCCCCTTTGCTCTTGCAAGAGTGATGACCAAGAGCAGCACGAGCAGCCTGAGGCCACCTCTGCACGGGGCTGTCCTTGGTGCCAGGTCTGTCTCTCTGGGTGGTCACCGTGATATTTTCTTGTTACAGACAAGAAGCCACAGCAGTCAGGGTGTCGGGCACCATCTCAGCACATTTCTCTTTATCCCTGATTGCTTCTCTAAGAGTGAAGAGACAACAGTGCTGGGCAACACAGCCATGAATAAATGGCTGCAGGGAGCCAGAAGCTGAAGTGATTTTTAGGGGCAAAGATACCTCCTCAGCATTGAATGTGATTGCTGTGCTGAAATGATCCTTGGGAAATGATGCGGTTTAAAAAATGGTAAGTGTTCAGCACTTTCTTCTGCATATTTTTATTTCAGCCGCCTCTCTGGTCTCTCMATATTGTTTGACTTTTCTGAGTACCTGGCCATAAAGCTCTGCACTGTGAGTGACATTCATCCATGACTGTAATGTATATTGCTCCCTCTCTGTGGTATCCAGGTAACCCTTGAATATAACCCTAATGCAAAGCTGACCAAATACTCGAGAAAATGGCTGTTTTAGGTTTTACAAGACAGGAAACAGGAAAGGTTTTCCCTGTTTTCAGTCTCCAGCTCTCCTTGGTGGGGCTTAGGATTTGCAAGAATTTGGAGGGTGAAATGTTCGGCAAAAGCATTTCCCTAGATTAGACTGTGCTCATTTTTTGGTCTCCTTTAAAAATATTACMGAAAATTTCATCAGACCGTGAAACTCAGAATGTCAAGCTAGAGTCTTACCAAAATAATCCAGGTTTGGGGGATCTTGTTGTGCCACGTGGATTCTTTGGCTTAGAACAATTTTATTATGGATGGAGCCCTGCAGAACCACATTGGAAAAGGATATTGTTACAACAMTTTCAATATCAACAATGCTACTTGAAAGGAATAATTTGTTCCAGATGGCTATTAAGAATATCTGTCCTTTCTAAAAGAAATTCTTTTCCTTTCTTTCTTTTTCTTAKATGATTTATTCTAATAAAAAACTAGATAATTTAGATTTCTGTCAAATGGCTAGTAAACACGAAGACAAAGTTATTTGCAGGACAGGAACTCTGAAAGGCTACTTTCATTTAATCAGATTACAAATCTGTTCATATTGCACTTATTTCTTTCATCTCAAATAGCATAGTAAATTCTGCTTCATGAAAGAACTAGAAGGGATTAGAGTTACTGCAGATTTGAGAGCTCTTGTGTTGTATCTAGGACTCTTCCACACCACAGATAAGYCCATAACTACGTGTGAAAACAGCCACTGAACCTGATTTTGAGACACTCTAATATATCTCAATTTCAGGTATCTGTCACATCTCCTTACCTCCTCACAACTGTGAGTCAGTTGGGCACTAAATGAAGCTGACCTGCTCAAAATGGAATTATAAAGATCTTTTAAGTTGGTATTCTCCTCTGCTTGAGCAGTTTTGCAGGAGGTCAAGGTGCTATTAGATTCAACTAAAGGTATGACCAGCTTATGGTGTCTTGTCTCCTCCCAATTGTCCTTAGACCATGAATCCTCTCTCTAAATGCTCCTTCTTTGTCCTAGAGTGCTGAGAACACCAAAATTCTGTGTGACATGGATGATCATATCTGGGATCTCCTTTTCAGCACTGATGTCCTGCTGCACCAAATTACCCTGTCCATGATGGGCAGTGGACTAATACCATCACTTGGAGAGTGCTCAAGAGTGAAAGGACAAGGAAATACTGAAGCAGAGTCCCACTTAGGGCATTTCTCCACTTCCATTCCAGGTTTTGGGCTTGTTTCAGCACATGATTTCATGTCTATCTCATGTACCCCAGAGAGTGACCGGAGGGTAGCACAAAGTGTCCAAGATACTTGCTTGTTATATATAAGACATGCTGTGGCTGGGCTTTCTGCTTAGACCATTGCTTGGACATTATCCACAGGCACCAGAGGCAATGCTGGATGTGGAGATGAAACCAGGATTCATCATCTCCCCAGCCGCCTGCAGCAGCATCTTCTCAGCCACCAGACTTTCTCTCTGAAGGCTTTGCGTTGCTGCATGGGTTTCTCCAACGATGCTGCTCACTRAAGAGGCTTTCAAAGTCCCAGCATTTCCCCAGCATTTGTGCCTGCTGAATGTCAAGCAGTAGAAGGGCTTGAGGAGGATTGTTGGTCCTGGCYGACCAGATTCCTGTTTCGTGTTTGAAATAGATCTGCATCTGGTTGGTTAGCAAAATATTATGATCGGGATAACTACCTAAGCCATCTCGCCAAGCCAAAGAATCATAATGGGGTTCCAGAAAAGCCAATATTAAATCCAGAGACATCAACATTTGTGAAGTAGAACTAAATTGTCTCCATCTGGCTCCGGCTCTTGCCTGAGGCACAGAAATAAGTAGCTGCCTTTCAAAGAAGAGAAGATGAGGGCTGAGTTAATGAGGACCATAACAACCTAACCCTAAACTACCTCAGGTCACTTTCTTTTTCCAATTTTACCTCATTCAGTCAATGACCACCCTGCTTGTTCAGGGTATCTTGCTCCGTATCCTCCCGCTGTGAGGAGGAAAACATCCAGTGACACCAAAGAGAGCGGGAGAAGGGAGCTGAGCTGCTGCCAGGGCAGGGCAGGGGTGGGTGACCTGCATCAGAATGAGCTACAAATACTTTTAGCTTCATGTTATTAAGTGCAAGTCTTGAAATGTGTGGGGAAAATGATAAACACTGTCCAYAAACATGGTGTAAATAACATTTAYTCTCAGGTAAATACCTTTGAGAAAAGCAAAAAATGAGCACACCAGAATCCATCCTTAACTAAACCTGAATATTCAGAAAGTATCACTGTGTGCATCTTTCTGGTCAGTTCTTATGATGAAACCAAAGCTAATTTTAGAAGAAATAGAGATTTCAGAAATGAATTGTGCTGTTTGCTGCTGTGATATGTATTTTGTGCTCTTGTGTATAGTGTCCCAATTCCACTCCCCAAATGAATCCATGCTTATAAGCAACCCCACCAAGAATACCTCTCTATAACTGATACTTCACATGATTAGACCTTTCTTTTTTTGGCGTTTAGAAAGTTTTCTGAAATTGAAACACCCCCCAGGTACAACACTCTGGGGGAAGAGTTGCACTAAAGACTGTATTTTTGAGTGAAATCATGAAGAAAAATGGGGAAAGCTTCCCAGCTTTGCAGAAATGTGCAGAAATATGCAACTACTTACAAGAAGTCTGCACTTACCAAGCACTTTGGTGGATACTGATGGGTGTAATGAGGCACAGAAACATAAATTCAGTTGGCCGGGACCATGGAGTGAGTAATTATCCCTATGGGAAGAGAACAGGTGGATTATTTACTGGGCTGCAACTGCAATAAGCAATTAAAGGGAAAAAAAAACCCACCACATCTGTTCCACATCGTCCATTTCTTCTTTTCCAGGATACTCCTCCAGCTTGTCTCTCTGATACTGTGACCTGGAGACAAGTCATTTCTCTAATGAGGCTGTGCAAACATCATGTGTTCCTATGTGGAAAGAAGTGGAGATGGCCAGGAGCAACAGGGCACAGTAAGTAACATCCGGCAACATCTCCTCACTCTCCTATTTTATTTTCTATGAGATTCTGCTTTGTTCCAACCCCAAATCAATGTGTTTCCAGTGACAAGAGAACAGGCGTTTTAGAGTTGCAGGAAATAAATCTTGGAATCGGCTCCACTAAATGACTCATATCTCTGCTGCCATCTTGAGTAAGAGGAAGGGCTGAGCATCTGATCAACAATTCGCTGTTTGATTGAGCTGATTAAAGCGGGTTTTGTTAAATTAGCCAGCTGAACCTGACGCCTGATGTGTTTGATGTGTTGTGAAGCCTCTGTTTGCCYCAGGAAGGGTTTCCTCCTGCTAGCACGAGCTGAGAGCAAATGAGATGTAAACGGTGTGGATGATGTGCTCTTCTGTGCCAAACTTCTGCAGTATTAAGAATGTGATTTCTTTAAGACTGGGATGGATTTAATCATGAACAATTCTGCTCAAAATTCTGGCAAATCCAGAATAACGCTATGTTAGGAGAACTGATTTCTCTAGTGATAGTGGTTATTGACTTATGCATGGTTGAGGACATATTTTTTCCTACTACATCTGGCTGTTTCCCACTGGTGGTCAGCTATGCAGTGCCCTAAGATTTTTTGTATATTCCTAAGGTTTGTAGACATCGCTGATTGCCATTAAAGTATAGCCATAAAAATCAATTTTGAAGATATGGATTTCATTATTTAATTTATACAACTCATGGTCTKGGCATGGTAAATATTGCTTTCTCTGAAAACCTCTTATCATTATTGGTTTTGTCTGGAATTTATCTTTCAAGCAAGGATTAGACTAGATTTTTGTGAAAGTTTGGAGCAGAGAAATATGGTCTAGCAATGCATAACAGATTGTCTTCTCCAATGCATGCAGTGAATATTGGATGATTTCTTAATATCTTGCACTAAACTCAGCCATCAGTTATGCCATCATAGCACTGCTGTACTGGAAGTGACTCCATTTATATCTGTGGAGTTTCTCCTGATTTATGCTTTTAGAAAAGCAAGGTTAGGATTTGACTCCATGTATTCCCAAGTCAATTCTGACCGGCAGCAGCATGGGACAGAGCAAAAAATAAGAAATGCAGAGGGTGTCGGCAGTAGTTTGTTCATGGAAAATGTAGGGAACGTGTTGTGCATCACTGATAATGAAAATGCAAAAGGCAAAGAAATGTGGCCAGTTTCCTCCAGTATCACAAAACCTAATAAATCACTCTCTTTCATTMGTTCGAAGTACAATGCAATTGCTGTTCGGCATGAAGGGTTTAAGCAGCAATGGAACTCTTTGTGATTATTCTCTGTTTTAGAGAGATTAAAAACAAATATTTCTAGTATAATAAACAATCATTAAAGCGGGCTATTGCTGGGGAAATGTGCCGTGTGGCTACGTTTCCATCAGGTCTCTGGGAAAAGAGTGGACCTAATTAATGTTACATATTATTCTAGGTAGAATATTCGGCCAAAACACTTAAGTAGGATATTGCAGCTATTGAATGCATCTCATCTACTGCTGTTGGCCTGGTTATTCATGGGGACAAACAAAAGTTAGAAATATGTAAATGTGAATAAGCAGAGGTATTGGAGATGTCCAGTCGGTATGAATCMAGAGCTCTTGGGATTTAGACTAGTTATTGTCTAGGAACCAGCTCCTGTCTTTTATAGTCTTGTCAATAGTATGCAGTTGCAGTACCCTTTATAAAAATCTACRAAATTCTGGTCAAACTATTTTGAATGCAAATGGATGGTGTTTCATTTTATTTAAGTTAGCRGCCACTTTGTTGGAACTAAAGACACAGCTAAATAATGGTCAGGGACTCTCTTCTTCTTAGAGGAATCTTTAGTGCAGATCAGCTGCTGGAACCTGGTTAAAATAAAATAGTTGGAGGTTTTATTAAACTTCCTCATCCACATTCTAATCTGGATTTGGGTGTATCTTATAACACAGGAGCCTGATCCAGCAGGAAAATTGCATCTGGGGTTGAAGGCATCATCTGGCTTCTGCTTCCAGCAGCTTCCTGCACTGCTCTTCTATTTTCCTTCCTCCCTTTTGTCTGCTTTGTGTATTGTAGGTTCTTATTTTATTTCTGAACACCACCTGGACTGGAAGAATCCACTCTCTAAGTGCTGCTGAAATGTAAATAAGAGCAATAAGGAGCCTTTTCCCTCTGCTAAAATTTCATGGGTGTTTTTTATGCAAAATTTTGGCCTGGGGAAAAGTATAATTGGCAGGCAGCTTTTAACTGGGAGGCCACACTGACCTATTTCAGCGTAGGACCACAGAATAACAAACCCATGTTATGCTCTAAACATAACTGAAATCAGACGCAAAGCCTGGGTTAGAGAGCTCCTCCAGAATTTAATTTTTTTTTCCCCTGAAATATGGGAGCAAGGAGTGCAAAACAGAGGGACAGAGGTCAGGATCTTCCACACARGCAATGGAAAAGCAGTGAAGCTGGAAATTTGAGTTATCTGGTGTTGCTGGGCCTCTCCTTAAAACCATTGCTGTTCAGCATCTTGGTCCTGTCGAGGCAGTGGAGAGGATCCAAGGTTGGCAATAGTGGCTTTTATATCCATGAAGCTCAAACCACTGCAAAATCCTAATGCTGTAAGACTGGGAGTATTCTCTTCTTTTTCTCTCCAGATATAGAATAAATATCACTGCATTTTTTTTGATTATTTTCTAATTTACAGCAGATAACCCTGAAAGAGTGATTCATTGATACTGATGTTTTTTTTTCCCAATGAGTTTATAGTTGAACAARCAGAAGTACCAATGGCTCCATGGTTAGTGCCCTGGCTGTCAAAGCAAGCCAGTATTGATCTTTCCAGCAACTTTTCTTCATCCTGACTGAACGGCGCAGTTGAGGGGAGAAGGAGAATGAGGAAAAATTTAATTAATTTTGTTATCTGCAAATTAATGTGGAGCAGCATGGACTGCCAAATTGACAGAAATGTATTGCAAAACACTCTTTATTTGGAAATTGAAGTTTGGAGTGAGATATTTCCTCTCCCCAACCCTCACCCCTCCAAGTGCCCCTTTACTCTTAGGCAAAAGCAGATGATCATGGAAATTATTCAGGCTGAGAATGGTCTCAGCATCTGGAGGTTTGCAGATGGTCATGTTTGATTCAGCAACCTGGCTGGAGGGTGCTGTGGGATGTTTTGTATTTGGTTCAGCCCAAAACATTGTGGTCAGAGTAATAATCATAATAAAAAAGGCATCTTGTTCCAAGTAGGGCCGTGAGGATCAGAGATGAGCTTTATCCTTCCTTGCGGTCTTCTCCAACTGGTACCCGGAGCAATCGGGCATGTTGAGTGGAAATTTTTATTAAAATGGTGAGCAAAGTCCACACTGGTTTCTGTGCTCTGATATTATGCCCAACAGCCTCTCTTAGACAAATATATACCTCTGAATGGGCTCAAAATTAGGAAGGATCTTGTTTATTGGATGGCTCTTAGATAGGTGACTGAGAATCTTGGTTCAGATCCATRAGTTCATTCAGGTAAAATTAAGACGTTTGTGCACTTGTTTTTGTGCATCCAGTAAATATATTGCTTTGGATTAGATTTAGGTGAGATCCTAATACTTTCTGAATTCRTATGTTCTCATTAAACCAAGTGGCTGAGAATATGACCTGCAATAACCAACTGATTTTATTATGATTCCCTCATGAAAGAGCTGGTTCAGGGTGACCACTGCTTATGTAAACTGGTCAACAGCATAGATCTATCTCCAAGATCTGTCCTTGGCTTGTGACACTTATTATGCATTATGTAAATCATTCAAGCTGATTTGCTAAAAACGCCGCATTGCAGGAATTTTGACATTGTGACTATCTGCAAAGAAAAAAAAAAGGGACTGTGCCATTGACAGGCCAACTCCAATTTTGAAGTATTTCACGTACTCTCTACAATATGTAATCAGTCTAATTAAAGACATATGAGCAAAAGGCAACCTATATAACAGATATAAGGAAGCCAGACTTTTCCATGTGAGTGGTAAAGCCAGCAGCCACAAATACCTCTCCATTTCGGCAGCCTCAAAAATGCAGCCGCAAATATTATTCATCTCAGTGGTCTGCAAAGATTTATCAGGGGTTATAACTTCCTGAAAACATCTGTGAAACTAGGAATTTAGCATATGTATGTATTTGTCAGTCAGTAAACAGATACTTTCTCTTACTATACCCGCTAGTCTCAGAGAGCAGTAATTATGAGTAAGGAAGGCAGGAAGAAATTGAAGTGTTCAAAAACAGACATGATGGGGAAAATATAGCTTGATGTTTACAATAACTTCTCTGATTTAAAGCATAAAAAAAAAAGCATCCTTCCAAGGTGTGAATAAATTTACTTACCGATTTATTTTATTTTATTTTATTTTATTTTATTTTATTTTATTTTATTTTATTTTATTTTATTTTATTTTATTTTATTTTATTTTATTTTTGTGGGAGAATCTTTTAGGAAGGAAAGGAAAGGAAAGGAAAGGAAAGGAA